CATACATACATATGCACATACATACATATATATACACACACACACATATATATATATGCATACATATATACACACACACACATATATATATATGCATACATATATACACACACATATATATACATATACATATATACATACATACATTTATACACACACACACACATATATATATATGCATACATATATACACACACATATATATACATATACATATATACATACATACATTTATACATTATATATATATATATATATATATATATATATATATATATATATATATATAGATATATATATATACATCTACACATACACACACACATATACATATACACACACATATACACACAGACGCACATATTTATATATATATACATACACACACACATACTTACACACACATATATATATATATATATACACACTTGTGTATTTGGGCTGCAATCTCTCTTTTATACATGTTTCATTAAAGATGATTTATAAATGTGTATGAGAAAAATTGTTTAGCACAACACAGTGAACCAAACTTCTTAGCAGCTGACAAAGTAATTACTTCAATATAATCTCTCCACTTCATTTTTCGAGAGCAAATGCCAGTTTTATTTTGTCAGATCTCTTGGACTTACTATTAAGACAGGAGTAAATAGTCGTGTCATCAGCAGAAATACCTAGTTGGGAACTAATGATGTCAGGATGGTCATTGGTGAAGATAAGAAACAATGTGGGTTGAAGGATAGAGCCCTGGGGGAGACCCGCATTAATGTAAACTGATCTAAATGCCTGATCATTCAACACAAACTTCATTACCTGACTTGTTAAGAACAATTGGATTAAGTCAAATATCTGGCCAGAGGCACCACAGACCTTGAACTTGTTGAGAAGGTCAACATACCAAACCCTGTCAAATGCCTTTGAGATATCTTAAATAATAACCTTTTATTTTGTGTAGGGAAATGAAAAATGCAAGAAAAGAAACTGTTAGCATAGAACTTATGGTTACATTGAGACAATTCAACTGTAAAATGATGAGAACTTGCTGCCAATCTAGTACTGCACTTAAATTCATAGTCAATGTACCATAGAGGAAATTTTGTCAGAACAATTATCATGAAAGTATTTATAGAAAAGGAACAGGGAAGCTACATTACAGTGATGTGAAAGCAACTGAAGGTGATATGCCATGTCAAGACCAATGATATTGCAGATTATTCTTTGGATTTTATCAAAAATCTCTAAATATATAGCGGGAACACCAGACCAATTGAATTGGCTAATTATCATACATATCCTCATAATATGCACCTATTATTCCATCCTGGGATGCCCTTACAACAACTTCATTCATTTACCTTCTATCTTGAGTGGCTCTCGAGCTTTGTAAAAAACAGTATAATAAATGTTTTTATTTCTTTTTTGTGAGCTTATCTATGGGTATACAAATATATTTTTCATAACTCTTTTGACTTTGAGCCATATTCTTTTTGATACAGATATATATATATATATATATATATATATATATATATATATATATATATATTTTAATTGATTTCACCCCATGCAAGACAGTAAAGACACTAAGACACAAATGGCTACTGAGTGTGGAAGAATTAGAAAACAGAAATGTTATTAAGGAGTGAGAATGATAGAAGAGTAATCAGGAAGACAGTAGATAATGATTGACATTGCATTTCAATTTTTAAAGATCAAATTTGTCTGGGAAGCATGGAGCCAGGAGATAGTTCCACAAGCAAGAAGTGTGAGAAAAGAAACTGTTAGCATAGAACTTAATGTTACATGCAGCCAATTCAACTGTGAATTGGCAAGATGTTGTTTACTGGGCTTAAATTCATAACGTCTAGGTACCATGGCAAATAACTATTAAAAGTCTTGAGACCCATCATTAAAAGAGATTTATATGAGAACTGAAAATAATATTGAAGCAAAAGAATTCTCTGGGAAGCATTAAAAATTGTTCCAAGTAGAGTTAAAATCCAAATAAAAGTAAATCAATGAATGAAAGACTGATGAAGCGTTTAAGGAAAAAAGTATGACAAAGTGGAAAAAGTTTTGTGTGACACATTTTGTTCTTTAGTACTTCATTGGACTAAAGTGATGTTTACATTGATATGATTATATAGTTTATTTTGTTTTGTGTTAATTAAGTCTTTTATTGTTTTAGAAGTAGTTCTCAAGGTGAGACGACAGAGAGAAAACCTGACATGAGCAATGATTAAAAACAAAGAAAGGCAATTTTACAATAAAAAAAAAAAAAAATTACTTAGTAGAAAAACATGTTGGTATTGATAGGTTTAACATTTCAAATGATTTCTATATACAAAACATTGATTTAATGTTACAAGCTTCCCTGTAGAAGACAGGTTTTAGAAAATTTAAGGGCAAAGGTTTGAAAGTTTTCAAAATAAATGAATCCAACCCTTTCTGTAATGATGTGAAAATGACTATCTAATTACAATAGCTAAGGCATAGACTTATATAAATGCCCAAAAGCTATAAGGGTAGAGTAGCTCTCAGTATATGAGATGGATTCATATCTTTCCTAAGGATATTTGCACATAAGTCAATATAACAAACCTGAGTGGAATTCCAATTCCAATCTGACACACACACAGTTCAATGGATTAGGGACAAGCTAATGTTTTATTTAGGAACAAGCTAATGTTTTATCATCACAGAGCAAACCCCAAGCTTTATCCAGTCATATTGAATGGCTGAACTCTCAACAAGGCTCCTTGCCTGGAATGGCTGTTGGGATTCGAGCTCACTGCAGGCCTTAAGTAGAACTCGTACATATGATCTATTGTTAAAGATGCTGGAGAAATGGTCAGTTTCTTGGAGTGCTCCAGTATATAACTGACTCCTCCTGCCATTCTTTTAGCTTTACAAGAGTCAGGTCTCACCCAAAATGGAGCACTGTCACCATATCTGGGCTGGTGCTGCTTTTCTAGCCTTGACAGATTTCACCACAGTTATGTGAGCTGTCAATTATTTTCCATCCTACAACATCTTTCCTTCAGATGAAACATTGCTAGCCTCTCATTACTTTATTACTATTTTTATGACAGACATTCAAACGAGCTACATTCCTCAGTCCCACCAGTACAGCTCGGAGATACCATTCCAAAAGCTCAGCATCAACTTAACCTCATTCTCATTGTGCTCCAGAAAATAATTCCCCCTCTGACAACTTTTTCCCCATGAATTGTTACATTATGGAAAAGACTTCTGAAAGGATGCTTTTTTGTTATCTATCCGCATAATATGCACCTAATACTCCTTCCTGCAACAACTTCATTCAGTTATCTTCTACCTTGAGTAGCTCTCAGGCCTTGTGAAAAACAGTATAAAAAAACATACACACACTACTGTTAATCCCATAAATGTTTTTATTTCTTTTCCAAGCTTATCTACAACTATATTTTTCTCATCACTCTCTTATATATATATATATATATATATATATATATATGTATGTATGTATGTATGTATTTTTTAAAATCCATTTCATCCCATGCAAGGCAGTAAAGACACAAGGGGTTACTAGGTGTGGAAGAATTAGAAACAGGAACATTACTAACGGGGTAGGCAATCATGGGGATTGCCATTGCATTTAAATGTTTGAAGATTAAAGTTGGCTGGAAAGCATAGAGCCAGAAGGATGTTCCACAAGCAAGATGTTTGAGAAAAGAAACTGTTAGTATAGAGTTTATGGCTACCTCTAACCAGCTCAACTGTAAATGGATGAGATTACATAGCCATTCCAGTACTGCACTTAAATTCAAAAAGTCTAAACCCAATAGCAAAGAGCTCATTCAAACAATTACCATGAAAGTATTTATACAAAAAGGCACAGGGAGGCAACCTTACACTTTTTTTTTCTTATGCTTTTCATCCCAAGCAAGGCGGGAGTGCCTCTAGCATACAAGGGGTTACAGAAAGTGGGAGCAAGAGTAAAGAAGCATGATAGAGGAAAGGATGAAGAGAAGGATGGGGAATAGATCAAGGCATCTGGAGATGTCGATTGACATTGCATTTGAATATTTGCAGATTATAGCTATCAAGGAAGCAAGTAAGAGGAAGGGAATTACACAGAAATAAAGTGCAAAACATGAAGCTATTGGAGTAGAGGAGATGGCTAACATTTAACCATTTCAATAGTGAAAGGGTAGGACTGAGATGCCAACCTAGTAGCATGTTTAAATTCATGCAGTTTTGGAACTAGCAAAAATAGCTCATCGTGGCAGTTACCATGAAAGTATTTGTAGAAAAGACAGAGGGAGGAGATGGGATGTCTGTGAGAGAGCGACTGTTATAGTCAGAAAATAACTGAAGCCGAGCCACCAGATCAGGACTAATAATATTGCTGATTCTGTTTTGTATTTTATCATGGAGCTCAAGGTAAATAGCAAGAGCACTTGGCCATATATGGCAGCAATATTCTAAGCATGGGCAAATGGTAGATATGTATGATAGATTCTGGAAAGAAAAATTGTCTCGTACAACACAGTGAACCAACTTTCTTAGCAGCTGATTTAGTAATGGATTTGATATAGTCTTTCAACTTTATGTCAGCTGTGAATATTAACCCAAGAAGTTGTGATGAGTCACTTTCCTGGATGACAGCATCAGCCATGCTGATGGGAGGCAGAGAGGAGTCTCTGAAGTGATTAATGGAGAGAAGTTTAATTCTGGAGATATTGATTGGAAAGGTAGTCCTTTATCTCATATACTGAGAGCTACCCTACCCTTATTGCTTTTGGGCATTTATATAGTCTATGCCTTAGCTATGCTAATTAAGCAGTTATTTACATATCACTATAAAAAGTGTTTGATTCATTTATTTTGAAAGTTTTCAACATCTGCCTGCTATAGGCGGACTCGTAACATGAAACCAATGTTTTGTATATAAAATCACTTGAAATGTTAAACTTAACAATAGCAAAATATTTTTCTACTCAGTAAAATTCTTTTTGATCATGATATTTCCTTTCTTTGTTTTTAATCATTGCTCGTATCGGGTTTTCTATCTGTTGTCTTTGAATGTACTTTCTTTTTAAGTGCACCCATGTTGCTACTACATGTCACACAAGCTCTGTCGTCTTGTAATATTCATGATCATTACTGTTTCTCTAAGATGTCCGCTGTTATTTTTTTCAGCTTTCTGTCATTTTCATTTCTTAGAAATGATTTCTACTTTGATTTATTTATAATTTATTGCTAAACATTTTATTCCACACAAATCACTTGCAGCCATATTGTCTTGCAGAAGACATGGCGAAATGTTGGAATAACAAAATATATTTTACTTTTTTTGTTTGTAAATCAAGTTTTGATTGACTATAAACAAGATTTTGAGAATAACACTGGTTTTTGTGTATATTGCGTTGTTTTATATTCTAAACAAATATAAGGGAAATAACTTGCTTCTTTTTTCTTTTGTAAGGATGTCATCAGGGTCTTGAGATGGAAGCTCGGAAGTAAATGCTGCCAGATGAGCAATAGATGCTTAACGATAAATGAGTTTTACAATTTTTGTTTTGTTTATAGAGAATAAAAAAAAAAAATTCATAAGAAAAAGTGTCACATTATCTATTCTGCTGATATCTCCCTATTTGGTCTGTTTCTATCTTTCTTTCATTCTATATCTATCTATCTATCTCTATACCTATCTATGTATTACTCTCTGTCTATTCCTTTCTGTCTATCATTCTATCTATATTTCTTGATCTATCTATCTATCTATCTATCTATGTCTGTTTATATCTATCTATTTATCTAGCTATATTGATATCTATCTCAGTCCATTCATATCTATCTATCTCTATAGCTATCTATCTATTACTCTCTGTCTATTCCTGTCTGTCTATCTTTGTATCTATATTTCTAGCTCTCTCGATATATTCCTATCTATCTATCTATCTGTCTAGCTATCTATCTTTGCATATTTCTATCGCTCTATGTATATTCCTATCTATTTATCTATCTATCTATCTATCAATTACACTGTTTGTATCTATGTATCTTTTACTGTGTTTTCGTATCTATCTATATATATATTCCTAGCTATCTTCCTATTTATGTATCTTCATATCTGTCTGTATATTGCTATGTATATATATATATATATATATATATATATATATATATATATTACCCTCTGTCTATCTATCCCTATATTTCTATCTATTACTCCTTGTCTGTTCCTATCTATCTATCTATTACTGTCAGTCTGTTCCTATCTATCTTTTACTGTCTGTTCCTATCTATCTATCTATTACTGTCTGTCTGTTCCTATCTATCTATCTATATATCTATCTATTACTGTCTGTCTGTTCCTATCTATCTATCTGTTACTGTCTGTCTGTTCCTATCTATCTATCTATCTATTACTGTCTGTCTGTTCCTATCTATCTATCTATTACTGTCTGTTCCTATCTATCTATCTATCTATCTATTACTGTCTGTCTGTTCCTATCTATCTATATATCTATCTATTACTGTCTGTCTGTTCCTATCTATCTATCTATTACTGTCTGTCTGTTCCTATCTATCTATCTATCTATTACTGTCTGTCTGTTCCTATCTATCTATCTATCTATTACTGTCTGTCTGTTCCTATCTATCTATATATCTATCTATCTATCTATTACTGTCTGTCTGTTCCTATCTATCTACCTATCTGTTGCACTGGTTAGTGAGGCTAGTCTGGTTGACCATGTGTATGAGTTGTGAGTTTGATCTTCACTTGGTGCCCCATACAACATTTGACATTAAATAATCCCACAAGGGTTGACATCAAAGAAATCAACATAATCTAATCTGTCACAGAAAGATAGGAATAATATGATACTTTTGTATGGAAAGCAAATGAAAAGAAAGATAAAAGATAGATATTAATGGGCTTGGATAGAAAATCTATCTACCTGTTTATCTATCTCCCTAGGTAGCTCATTCTGTTCATACTTTATCTTTCTCTCTTGCTTGAGTGATATATGAGTACATGTGACCGGGTCTAAGTATACATATACTATAACTGTAATATTAGACGTTTTCTTATAAGTAAACATTCAGCATTCATTGAACGAGATGCCAGTTATTCTGTTGGTTGAAATTTATAAAGTCTTTGTATTAAAATAATTTTTTTTTGAAAAATAGGTTTCTCAAGTCCACTAATTGTTATTGATCTTTCCAGTATTGACAGGAGTTTACTTCTTAACCTTCTTATTTGATGCATTGTGGAATGTGAACATCTGTATATTTCTACCTATTTTACGACAGCGGAAGCTTGGAAGGGGAAAATTATGTTTCTGGATTAACAATTAGTAGTGAACAACAAGAATTCCACAAGAAATAGATGTCCATCACTGAGATTTTGGGATTATATTATGTAAAAAAAAACAAATAAGAAAAAAAACTAGTTTTCTTTATTTTTCAAAAAAATAAAAAATTAAATGGTTTTCCTTAAAAAAAAAAGTGTGTATTGTAGTGTATAAAATGAGTTTATCTGCTCTTGAGAAGTGGAGGGAGAAAAAAACAAAAAAAAAGAAAATGTATTTCTGTTAAAACAGATTTTTAGGAAAATAGGTTTCTCAAGTCCACTAATTGTTATTGCTCTTTCCAGTATTGACAAGAGTTTACTTCTTAACCTTTTGTTTGATGCAATGTGGAATATCAACATTTGTATATTACTCCATCTATCTATCTATCTATCTATCTATCTATCTATCTATCTATCTATCTATCTATCTATCTATCTATCACTCTGTACATTTCTATCTATCTATAAAACAGTACAAGCTTAAAAAAGGAAAATCCTATTTCTGGATTTGCAAATAGTAGTGAATGCTACTTCCATGGAAAGTGCTCAGAAGAGCTACATTCCCTGCTCCCACTGAGGCAAACCTTCACAGCAAGAACACACCATCTCACTTACATAGTCACCCCCTCCTACACACAGAGATTTCCTCTGTATTCCATCAGTGAGAAGTAAGTTCCACTTGAACAGCTTCTTTCCATGAAACACGGACCTGTGGAACTGAATCCAAAAAGGATGTTTCCCTGGTCACTGCAATCTTAACCACTTCAAGGCTAGGGTTAACCATTATCTTCCACGACTATGCACACAAATGGCATGGCCTCCAAATGTAGCCCTCTGCCTTGTGTGGTTCCTGGGCCTTGTAAAGGGTGAACCTAGCTGTAAAAAAAATCAACAACAATTCCACCAGAAATTGATGTCCACTGGTGTGGTGTTGGGATTATATTACGTAAAAACAAAACAAAAAAAAGGGTTTCCTTTATTTTTCAAAAAAAAAAAAAAAATGGTTTTCCTTAAGCTCTCTTAAGCTTTAAAAAATACTCCCTTTTATAAAAGAAGATTATCTGCTCTTGAGAAAAAGTGGGGGGAGAAAGAAACAAAAAACATATTTCTATTAAAATAGATTTTTGGGAAATAGGTTTCTCAAGTTCATTGTTATTGCTCTTTTCAGTATTGACAGGAATTTACTTCTTAACCTTTTGTTTGATGCAGTGTGGAAGGTTAACATCTTATGTCATTATTTTCTCTTTGAGTTACATTTGTTGAAAGCCTTCAAGTGATGTTGTTTTTGTTATCTGGTACAGTTCTTTGTTCGTATTTCTGTATCACCAGTTCATGAGTTTCAAAGAAGGATGTTCTTCATTATGACCTAGAGGATTCATTCACTCAAAGCCATTTTTAGTCATTGATCTGAGAAAGCAATTGTATACAACTGGCAGCTTAGATATTTCTGAATGAGTTTAGTGCCAGGCATGACATCCATATGAAACCTGATTTAACGAGTCAATTTAAGAACATTAGTCAAGTGTTTAGGTTACTGTTTTGGTTTAGTAGCAACTTGCAGTATTATGTGAAACTACCCCTAGTTATGTGTTGTGCCCCTTCAGGACTTAGGTGATCAATGCCCTCCACATCTTACTGTCCCTTGTAGCTCTTAATAAGTTTTGTCTTTTTGTTATTTCTCCTTAACACTATTCTTCCATCCATTTACTCAAGCTCATCAAGTGTGGTATGCTCTGCTTTCCTCTGTCCCTCTTTTCCTCAATCTGCCCTGTGAGTATCTGATTTTCCAAGCCTTACTTCCACATTATGTGCCCCCGAAATTTCAACTGCCTCTTCCTGATGTTAAGTATAAGTTTATTTTTTGTTTCCATTTTCTCTAAAACCTTGCCGTTGTTCACATGTTTGGTCAATGGTATCCTCAGAATCTCTATGTTGAACCACATTTCTGTTGCTTCATGTCTTTTCTTCATCTTTGAGGAGACTGCCCAGCATTTTCTGTCATGTAGGAGGACAAAATATCATGTAACACTTCAATACTCTTTTCTTTGTCTCTTTTCTTTGTTTCTTGCAAAATTTTTCTATTTCTTAATACTCTGCTTAGATTTTGGAAGGCACCTTTGGCCATCCCAATACATCTTTGGATTCCAGTGTTACACTTTTCATTCTCTGTTAGAACACTTCCCAGATTTGTTTGATTTTAGCATCCCCAATTTGTAATTTGCATTTTGGGTTCACCCTTTTGCTGATAACCATGCATTCTGTCTTGTAGTTAATAGTCCTTTCTTCTTGTTTTCTTTCACTACCTTCTGTAGAAGTTCTTGTAGTTTTTTTTCTGCATCTGCTATCAACACTGTGTCATCTGCATATCCTATATTGTTAAGATTGTGGCTGCCAATAGTAAATCCTAATAGAACTTCTAATATTCTCAGAATCGCCTCATTGTATAGTTTAAAAACTTTAATAATTGACATCAAGTCAATTCTAAATTGGTTCTATCTGAGAAATGTTATAATGTAACAACATCTAATCTGAAAATGTTCGATTATATATTGGATAATTTTATTGTTATGTAACATACCTCAAATAAATGTGATATCTTTCTTCTCGGTTTCCTTGACTACCTTCTCTGGGAGTTTCTGTAGTTTCCTTTCCGTCTCTTCTATCAACACTGTGTCATCTGCATATCTTATGTTGTTAAGATTGCGGCCGCCAATAATGAATCCATGTAGGACTACTAATTCTCTCAGAATTGCCTTGCTGTATACATTGAATAAATTTGGTGAGAAGGCACATACTTGTCTTACATCCCTTTCTATTTTTGTATATTTACTGAATTTATTTTCTATCCATATGCTGACAGTTTGTTTCCTGTATATGTTCTGGGTTATTGTAATGTCCTTCCGAAATAAGTCAATATTACCTAGCTTTCCATCTTTTTGCAATTTCTCCGCTATCTGTTTACTCTGTCTATAACAGCAATAAAAATCTTCTCGGTATTAAATAACCCATTGAGGTTGATATGCCATAAAACAAAACAAACCAAACCTTTCTGTCTCTTCTATCAACACTGCATCATCTGCATATCTAATGTTGTTAAGATTGCAGCCGCCAATAATGGATTTTGATAAGACTTCTAATTTTCTCAGAATCACCTCATTGTATTGTTTAAAAACTTTAATAATTGATGTCAAGTCAATTCTAAATTGGTTCTATTCTAGAAACGTTATAACGTAACAACATCTATTCTAAAAGTGTTCGATTATATATTGGATAATTTTATTGTTATGTAACGTATCTCAAATAAATGTGATATTTTTTTCTTGGTTTCCTTGACTACCTTCTGTGGGAGTTCCTGGAGTTTCCTTTTTGTTTCTTCTATCAACACTGTCATTTGAATATCTAACATTGTTAAGATTGTGGTCACCAATAATAAATCCTGATAGTACTACTAATTCTCTCAGAATCGCTTTAATCTATAGGTTGAATAAGTCCAGTGAGACAACACATCCTTGTCTTACACCCCTTTCTATCTTTGTATATTTACTGAATCTGTTTTCTATATGTATGCAGATAGTTTGCTGTCAGTATAGTTTCTCTGTTATTCTAATATGCTTCCAAAATATGTCAGCGTTATCTAGCTTTCTGTTCCTTGCAATTATTGTTTAGTCTCTTCTTGCTTTCCTTGACTACCTTCTGTGGGAGTTTCCTATAGTTTCCTTTCCTTTCCTTTCTATCAACACTGTGTCATTTGCATATCTAATGTTGTTAAGAGTGTGGTCACCAATAATAAATCCTGATAGGACTACTAATTCTCTCAGAATTGCCTCACTGTATAGATTGAATAAATTTGGTGAGAAGGCACATCCTTGTCTTATGCCCCTCTCTATTTTTGTATATATGCTGTACTCACTTTCTCTCCATATGCAAATGGTTTTCTGCCAGTATAGATTTTTGATTATTCTCATGTCTTTCCTGAATAATTCAAGATTGCTGAGCAGCTCTAACAGATCTTTGTAGCATACTTTATCAAACGTGTTCAAGATCTTCAATTTCCTTATCTTCTCTAATAAATTTGACATAACTAATTGATACATTGTGGTATTTGAAATGTTTAGTATTTAATAATGTCACATACTGAATTTTTATGATAGATTCAGAGTACATGCTATCAATGCTTTCATCTCAATTCCTGATCCCAGTTTGTTTTGGAAAAAGGTTTATCTTAAGTCTTTTTTCTTGGAATACTTGGTAGAGAATGTTGATGTTTTTTTTTTTTTTGAGATTATGTGGTGCAGACAATGTATATGTAAAACATTATGAGACTATAATCCCACTAGTAGGTGATCGTCCAAAATGTTGTAGGCATCAATTGCCCAAGGAAATTACTATAATTATAATGAATACTTCCAGCAATATCAGCACCAGATGAAAATTGTTGACATTTCAATGTCTTTTTTTTTCAAAATTTAGAACATAAAATCCGTTGATACCAAAATGAGGCTGTATGGAAGGTCTTGCACTAGTTTGTACTGTTTGTTGAAGGCTGTACAGTCTTGCATTGTCAGGACGCAGAAAAATATTATTTCAGGTACTGAAAGCAGTTGTATACAGCTGACAATTTTCATAGTCCTGAATGAGTCTCTTGCCATGTGAGGCATCTATATGGAAGTTCCAAGCTAACAAAACTACTTACAAACATGACTTGAGTTTTTAGCTCAATGTTTCAGTTTAGTAGCAATTTGCAGTGTTAGGCGAAACTATTCCTAGCACAGATTATTTTATGTTCAATTTCCTTTTAATACTTAATTTATTATAACTGATCCATACATGGAGGTATTTGAAGTGTTTAGTATTTACTAATTCTATATCCTGGATTTTTATGATAGATTCAGAGTATATGCCATCATCTTGAGTTCTATTTCTTGGAACACTTGGTTTTTTCTTTGTATGAGATTATAGGGTGCAGACGAAGATGTCTGAAAAACAAAACATGAGAGACTATGGATAATCACAGTGGAGAGGGATTATTCCGAATGCAGTAGACACCAATGACCGAAAGAAATTAATAAAATTATAATGAATACTGTCATCAACATCAGATGAATATTGTGAACATTCAATGTTTTTTTTTAAAATTTAGAACAGAGTCTGTTGATGCCAGACAAAGGGTGTATTGAAGGTGTGCAACAACCATAAATTTCAGGTGTCTCACTATTTTTACTATTTGTTGAAGGCCGTACAGTCTTGCATTGTCAGAATGAAGAAAATTATTATTTCAGGTACTGAAAGCAGTTGTATACAGCTAACAGTTTTGATAGTTCTGAATGAGTCTGTTGCCATGTGTGGCGTCTATATGGAAGTTCCAAGCTAACAAAACTATTTACAAACATGACTTGAGCTTTTAGCTCAATGTTTCGGTTTAGTAGCAATTTGCAGTGTTAGGCAAAACTACTCCTAGCACAGCTTATTTTACATTTACATTTT